ATATATATATATATATATATACATGTATATATATGTATGTGTATGTACGTACATAGTTACAATAATTATGACAAAAATTTAGTGTGTGACCGTGACCAAGCAAGGGTTCAAGAACAGCATTTAATTTAATTTGACTACATTTATTCAGGCGTTTAGGCATTTTATTTGGCAATACTTAACAGGTTTATTGGTGTGACATAAAAAACAAACAAAAAGAAAACTATAATAAAAGGTTGGTCAGATTTAACGTTAGTGGAAAAATCTTTTTATACAGTGTATGCATGTGTCTGGTTTCTTTTGTCTCTTGTTAGTAATTTCATAATAGGTCCATATAACACCAGTGTGTTTGAAAGAACAAGCAGACCTTAACGCCCCACATCCTCGACGCACAGACTCTGGTTCCAGAAATACAACATGGCAGCCCCCACAAAACTTCTCCTGCTGGCTTTAATTCCCAACATCCAGAGAAGGCAGACGACTCAGTTCAGTGCAACACTGGTGCCCCCATGTACCCATCGGTTCAAACATTTTTACGCCTGAACGCCTCACAGCTTTGGCTCACTACTTGATGCTCTGGCAACTACCTGATAACACTATCACTTGTCTTATTATTAATAATAATAATAATAATGTCAGCACTGTATGCTTCCATACAATGGCAAAATTAGTCTCTGCATTTAACCCATCCACCACCAGGTGATGCAGTGGTCAGTTACTGGGTGTGTGGGGGCATTTTGGGGATGGGGTGTGCTGCCCAGAGACACCACGAGGTATGCTGTGACTGGGGATTGAGCCTGGGGCTTTCGGGTCCCGGGCTGGCTGCCCTGCCTCTGCACCATCTCGGCCCCTCATCCCTGGCAGACTCTGGGACCAAACGATGCCTATATATGACCGTTCTCTCTGGGGTACCCTTGAACCTGTCAGTAAGTTTTTGTTACAGAATTATATAAAAAAAAAGACAAAATGATCAGCTGAAGCATCAACTTTTTTTATTTATACTTCATCTGAACTTAGAGTACAAAAAAAACCCACACAATACTTGGTACATTAAGAGTGAATTAAACAACATAATGCAAAACAGATTTATTTATGTACATCGTATACACTTTATTTATAACTTGGTTTGGAATGTGTGCGGTTCTGTTTGTTAACCTCAGCCTGAAATCACACAGCGGAGGTGACACACTTCTTCAGCTGAGATCTGAAGAGAGTTACTCAAAACACCCAGCTGGTTTTAAGGGGAGCAAACTAGAACAACGCTGCTCTGTCCATGTCAGCCTTTCAACATGTCTTTCTGGGAAATTTGAGCATCTTTTCCATCTTCTCAGGCTCCTGATATAAAGTGCATCCTGTGTGCTACATTAAATCCAAATCTGTGAGATCAGACGGGACGCCTGCTTTGACTCTCGCTGTCAGATTCCCTCCTTTGTATCAGACGTGAATTAACGCAAACTGACGGGTTTCTTACAGGAAGTGTCGGTACCGCTCACGTCTCTTGTCACAGCCCACGAGTACGCTGCACAGATTTATCTTCCCTTCGTGTCTCGTGCACTTTGTCTTCAGCAGAACCCGTTAACGCTTTGAACCAGACATCAAAACAAAACGCCGCTGTAGTCGAAATCAACATCATTAAACTCCACAGCCTCATCTTATGGTCTACTGCTCGTCTTTGTCTGGGAACTCAGCCCCGCTACAAAATGAAAAAGTGTGTGTGCGCAGCAGGGAACAGAGGAAGTGGAGGGAAGATTCTCATTTGAGATAAAAATATACTCCTCACAGTCTTTGAACAGCAGCACACATGACAAAACATCTAGAGGGAGAAAAACAAGGTGGCTGGTGGAAAAGCTCAGTGGAGCCTGATTAAAAACCTGAGCCTGTACATTTGCTGACCTTGTGTTGTGGGGGAACTTGAAACTAAATTCTCTTTGCAGGGACGAACACAGAACCACCGTGGTGTTGTTATTCTCAATCTGTAAAGCCATTAGCACTTCCTGAACAAAAGCAGGTTTAAAATACAACGAAAGGCCTGGACTTCCTCAAAGGAATACAAATCGCCCACACAGACACGACCACAAACGTCACGGTCCGCTTTTTCCTTTCACTGGTGGGTGATAATAAAAAAGAGATGTGTAAAAAAAAAAAAAAAAAAA